AGCAGACCAGACTCTGTGTTGAACTGACGCTATTCCTCAATGTTTTCTGCCTTTGCAGCCGATGGATTATACGGCCGGTCACTTCTCATAGGCAGCAGTGCTTTCCAAGGACCTGCCTTGTTAGGCACTAAGATGCCCTTTCCCAAAAGCTGGAGGGAGTGCAGGGATGCTGTTACCCGTGCTGTTGGGATGGATTGAATCCCGCAGACCTGATCCGCCACGTGAATGAGGATGACTTTAGACTGTCGTATAGAGACCGGGCATGAGCATAGTCGGTATCTACCACCTGTGAACCACAGTAAGGAGTCTGCTGGGATGACAGCCTGATCTCAGTCTAAATCAAGAGTCTCCAAGCAATTCAGTGGAGTTGCACGATAAACTACACTCATTCAGAAGTAAGTTGGCAGTAACCGTATGACAGGATTACCAGGAAGATCTTAGAAGCCTTTCAATCTAGCAGTAAGAGTCTTGCAAGCTTCCTAGCGCTGCAGAAAAGCAAGCATGCATGTTTGCGGTTTGTTGCTGCAGAAACCTGATCAAAAATGGCTAATCATAAAGTCTTAAATTTGCAGGTAGTCATCATTTTTTTAGCCTCACGGCAGCGATTAAAAACACGCAGCTCTGTGGTGCAGAAAGACACTGAGGTGTCCAAGCGCCACTGAAGCATAACCTCTTGAGCAGGCTTCGAGGTTCAATTTTTGACTGTTAAAATTATTAATGGCCAATTAGACAAACCCCATCGCTGCTATCTTAAGCACAGTTTTTCATTCTCTTTATTTCTCACCTACCTGCCACAAGGACGAACCCCAAGGAGACGGCCAAGGCCACGCACAGCAACAAAGAGCTCTTCATCTTGCCTTCCCTTCTTTTGAAGAACACGAGCGGAGAGCCTGTGTCTGCCTATAAGGGCGTGTGCAAATGATACAGCTAATTGTTTCCTAAAATAAACGGCCCAGCCGGCTAGCGCTGACACTGTGGAAAATGTGGCTGGGGACTGAAACCGGGCATGTTTAATGCACAAAGACCTTGGCTCTTGGAGGTGAAGGGGGGCAGGGGGTTGCGCTATTACTGTGCAGTTTTATTCTGTTCATCACCAACAGGCAACGAAGCTGCTGAGTGCAAGGGCGTGCAAACCCACCCTGGTCCGTAGGGGACATCTTACCATCAGGGCCAGTGGCACTTTCCCACCTGGGGGCGAGGAGTGTAAGGCAAGAAAGTGTCCAGGTAGCCAAGGGCTCGTAGCTCTGGCTCCTAGTTTTGAGAAACAGGACTTAAAATCACTTGACTCATATTATAAAGACACTTCAGGTTTCAAGAGCAGAATCCTGTTTGCACCAGATTCTCTGCCAATATATAATAAGGGCTCGACCTGCCCCCGAAGAGCTTTCCGTCAAAGCAGACAAGATGAGAGAGGGGAGGGGTAAAAGAGGTGTAAAGCAACAGCAGGTCTGTGGCAAAGCTGAACTCTTCCTCCAGCTCTGCCCGCTGCGTTGATGGGTTTCTTTGCTTATAAATGGAAAAGGGGCTCCATGGGATCTGTGGTGTATGGAAGGCTCTGGTCCGGTACTGGGCAAGCAAACTTGTCCTGAAGGAGGGGAGTACGGGAGAGGACCTGGGTTGTTTTTGTCCCAGATTTGGGATCACTTTTGTGACTCTGAAAAATAAACTTTGTGATGTAACCTGCAATGACCAGGGCTGTCTCTGTAGCATGTATACGTGTCTTGCACGGAACAGGCCACTTTTTAAGGGAAGCCCGCTCTTAATAGCACTTTTGAGCCACGGCTTCCAAACACCTGCATCGGGGGAGGAAGGGGGAGTAGGGCCAAGTAGGATGCTGGCAGGCCCGTTTGTAGCCAGGGTTACTGCATCAGTGTATCCCGAATTTCTGCTACCTGCAATGCCCACTTCTCTCAATTAACTTAGCAGCAGGTGGTAAATCTCCCCGTGTTCTCCAGCTTTTCCTTCCGCAGCAGAACAGCAGCCCTGCGTCCAGATACAGGCTTCTCCCACAGCCCGTGCAGCTTGGTTGCTCTCGCCAGGCTCCCAAGAGGCTAAAGCCATCGGGCGACGCTGGCAGGCATCCCGGTCCCCGCCAGGGCAGCCTGTCACCTTACAGGCTCTCTTCCCTTTCTTCAGACCTTGCTGGCTGGGTCGCGAACCCTAGAGCTGTTCGAAGATCCCAGAATCTGCGTCCTGAGCTTTTTCTCCGGGTGCCAACATTTCATGCAGCAGTTGCATGATGCAATGAGCTTTTGTGTTGCATCAGCAGTGCTGACAGGCAAGGTTTCCCCTGGGAGGTGGCGGGGGATGATGGGTGAGAGCCTGGCTCCTAGCGAGGCATCAGGTTATGCCGTAATTCTTCTTTACAAACTTTGTTTTCTCGCTAGGGCTCCATCTTTAGGAGAGCAAAACTTGGTTTTGTTTCCTTTCCCCTCCCCAGAAAGTATTGCCAACAGGGTTTGATGTGGAGCTCTCTTCCGAAGCAGCAGCAAGCTGTTCCCTGTGCTCCGTCTTTTGCAGAAGGTTAAAAATAAGCCTGGCTAACCGTGGGGGGGTAGGGGTGTCTAGCTAAAGCACTATTTGTTTCAGTCGCCTTGTTTGTAACAAAATAGGAGATGTTTTAGAAATATACGCGAAGGGGGGATGCAGGCAGCAGAATAAAGCCCGTGCAAAAGAGGCTGCTTCTGGTCTGTTTTGCTAAGCTGCGCTGATAAAAGTACAGCCCTGGTAAAATCCAAGCAGGGGCGTCCATGAGTATTTTCAGACCCGAAGGGAGAGGCTGAGCAGAATGATGTTCTGTGTGATTCTGTTGATTTCGGTGGTTTTCCCTGCCTGCCGGTGCTCAGCATATCTGAGTTTCGGTTGCTAAATCTACACGTCTGCATACAGTCCCTTTGGTCTGTATCTGGTGGCCCGAGAGCTATTCTTAGTCCCACGCAGCCACCTGTATGTCTCTGAGGATTTCTATCTAGATCGCAAGCTCTTTAGAGGAAGATTTGTTTTATGGACTGTTACTTTTATGGCCTATCCCCTTTTTACTGTGTGGCATGTTGAATGACCAGAAAATGATCTGGGGAAGCAGGGATTAAAGAACTGTGGCAGTCTGGCAAGGGGCTGGCAAACCATCACCCCGGGCTTAAATTCTGGGCTGAGCGGGGAGCCAGACCGCCAACCTCACGGCAAGGCAGAGGCTAGCGGAGGAATAAGGGAGAATTTGAAAAGAAATGGGAACCAGCCCCATAGTCTCGGTCTCCTTGCACTTGTCCTGTGCCTCCGGTTGGCCCTGGACAGGCTGAACTAGGGTTTTCCCGGTAGGAAGCTGGGCAGGTGCCTGGATGAAGTGAGGCAAGAGTTGTGTCTTTGTGCGTCCTTGCTGTGCTGGGTGAGGCGTGGGGAGGAGGACAGCCGCACCGGGGCACGGGGTATCTCCAGCTAACACGCCGCCCGCTAGCAGCCTGTCCTACAGCTTTCTTTCCCCCGCATTTCTCACTCAGAAGCAGAGAAAAGAGGGGATTAAAACAGACCTGCAGCCATGGCTGATTATTGTGTTGGTAGCGGTGATTCCACTGATGCTTACAGCAAACCGGTGTGGTTTGGCTTGAGCAGTCCCTGATAACGGGATGAACTACCTCACGTTAGAGGCCATCTCCGGCTTCACCAGAAGTGGATGACATCTTCAGCAAGGCCTGAAGGAGGTTCAAATGTCTGTAGATGCTGTTTCTTCTCTGCTCTTGGAAATTAACCGTGGATTGTGAGACAACATGTCAACCACATTTACATCACGGAGTCCAAGGGGAAGCCGGTCTCTCTTTAAGGCTCTGAATTTTGAAAGGGCAGACTTTAGAAAAAAGAGAGCGCTACGTTGCGAGGGCAGTTGGACGGAAACCGTCAGGGTCAGGGACACGCTGAAGGCCTGGCTTTCTGCAAGGCACGCTGGCAAAAGCTATCTGGAATTTTAACCACGCAGAAATTGGCTGCGGACTTCTCTGGCTGGACTTCACACAAAAACCGGTAGGATTAAGCAGGAAAATTACAAAGCCTGATGGGCAGAGATGGCTGTCTTTTAGTGGCCAACTAGTATAAAGTGAGAATTTCCACTGAGGTGTGGCTAACAAAATAAATGCATTCTGTGTCTCACTTAGCAAGCCCAAGTTATTCTTGTTGCTCTCTCATACAGGCCTGTATCCAGGGGAGGTGATATCTGAAAATCGGCACGGACAGATTTGGAGAAAGTGTGTTAGTCTGAAGCAAAACAAATTTTTGGTGCAAGAGCAAATATGGAAAAGTTTGACCCAGAGGTGACTGTGGAGAAGCTGAGCCTGGTCTGCCATCAGGCCTACCAGAATCCAAGCCAATCACCCAGAAGTGAGTGAAGTTGTGCCCCCCCCCAGCTCTGTTTCAGTTAACTTTAATTTTTGTGTGACATGTCTTTTTCCACAAGAAGGTGGCCAGGAGTATTTATAAATAAAGCTGCACCTGTGCTGCGGTGAGAAAACACCACCTGCGCTTGCTCTACACAGAACTCCTCTTGCTGGGACGCGTGGCTGCTTAATTTACCAGGCTCTGGGTTTCTGAGCTCGGCCTAAACTCGGATCCAAGGAGCACAGCGGACGGGGAAGCAGCAGCAGCCCGGCTCTGCAGCCTGCCTTCGCCTTTCCGCCCCAAGGCCGATCCGCAGCCGCGTTCCTGCCGGGAGATGCCTGTATCCCTGTAAGGATGCCCTTGGGTGAAGGGAAGGAGAGTTAATACAGGTACCTCAGATGTGTCCAGGGAGGTTTTCACGTACTTTTTTCTCCCTGAAACTTTGGTCTGGGGGTAGGGAACTGAGTAACGAGAAGTTTCGGTTAACAGGGGACAGATGTCAGCTGCGTTTTCTGTCTTGCTTTTTTTTTTCCCTCTCGTCGTCGTAAGGTTACTGTATGGATGGCACTTGTACGTGTCTGTGCTTTTAGGTGAAGAAAAACCCCCGAGGAGGGAAAAAAACACTCTTTTCTTTCTATATGGCGCTATTCATTGCCGACACCTGCCACGAGCGAAAAAAAATCCTCGCTAAGCGGCTGCTCGCGTCGCGCAGCTTCTTACGGATCTGTGTGACTTGACTGGAAATCGAAGAGTAGAAGCAAACAAAGCTAATAGGAGAAGTAAACAAATATAAGAGTAGAAGTAAACAAAGCTAAGAGTAGAAGTAAACTCAGTTATGCTCCAGAGCTGGAGGGACGCAATCTATACGTCAGGTGCTTCACCGAAAGGGACCACGCGTGCCCTTGCCGCGATCGCAGTGGGATCCCTTCGGAGCACAGGGCTCGGCGGGCAGCCCGACCCTGGCGGTGCCTGCCGGGGCCAGCGCCGTCCAGCGCCGGGTGCCCCGCGCCCCCCCCCCCC